GCCGCTTCCCGTCCCCTCCCGTCCCGTCCCGTTCCGCCCCGTCCCGCCGGCACCGCGGGGCCCGGGGCCGCGGGGCCGCGGGCAGGGAGCCGTGTCTGCGCCGGGGCCATTTACTTTGGACAGCCCGGCGCGCCGGCTGCGCCGAGCCAAAGCAAACGGGGCGGGCAAGGCGCAGTCCCTGGCAGCCCGGTTGTTCCTGCTGGCAGCGCCAGAGGCGGCCCTGGATGGGGCAGGAATGTTGCTCGCTGGCACCGAGTCCCCGCGCCCGGCGCGCAGGGAGCAGCGGCAGCCACGGCTCTCATGGCCACGGCTCCCACGGCCACGGCTGTCCCGCATGGCTCTGCCCTGCAGGAGCTGCCCATGCCTTCGGGAATCTTGGCCGCCCTCGTCCTCTTCCCTTGGGAGAGCCCCTGGGAACGGGGGGCCACCGTGGTGGCGGCTCCGGCCGGGCACCGCTCGCCGGGCTGGCCGTCCTGCCCTCCGCCTCTTCCCCCCCGTCCCCAGCTTTAGGGCACCCGTTTTCTTCCACCGTGTGTGAACTGGGGGTGCCCGGCCCGGTGCTCGCTGCGGGCAGCGCCGTGGCCCGTTCTGCCCCGCACGAGCTCCATGGACGAGGCACGAGGGGAGCGAGGCAGGGGCCGCAGCACGCGGTTCTCCCGCCCTCCTGGCACCACTGAAAACTGGGGAAAAAACAAAACAAAACAAAACAAAACAAAAGCCCTTGTTTCGGGAGCTTTCCTTTGCTTGTTTACTTTTGTCACTAATAAACAGTGCAGCCCTTGGAGATTAGGCAGGAGGGAGCGAGAGGAAGGGCGACCGGCCTCGGAGGCTGTGACCTGCTCGTGGGCGCCCGCTGTTGAGGTTCCCTGCGCGGGTGCCTCCTCAGCGTCGCGGGGCGCCCTGCTCGCCCCGCTCCTGCCACAGCCCGTGGGGCAGAGCCCTGGGCCCGCCACGGCCCGCGGGGCAGCCCTGGGCCCGCCACGGCCCGCGGGGCAGAGCCCTGGGCCCGCCACGGCCCGCGGGGCAGAGCCCTGGACCCGCCACGGCCCGCGGG